GGTGGCGGCGCGGTTGTTGTTGCTGCTGCTGCCGTTGGAGCCCTCTGCGTGTTGCTGCTTGCGACGCTGCGACGACCGCTGCTGTTGCTGCGAGTGGAGCTCTCCTCCTTGCTGCTGCTGCTGCTGCTGCTGCTGCTGCTGCTGCTGTTTGCTGCAGGCCCTCATCTGGGCAAAGACGAGATCATCGTGGCGGGCGCGTATTTAGGGGAAGTGCGTTACGACACGATCCAGGCGAAGGCGATGGAGCGGGAGTGCAGCAGCGGCAGGAGCAGCAGCAGCAACAGCAGCAGCAGCAGCAGCAGCAGCAGCGTGTGGGAGCCCCGCGTGTGCCTCTCGCCGCTGAAGCGCATGCAAATGGACTACGGGATGAGCTGCGGCTGGGATGCTGGCAGCAAAAACTTTGTGCTGCCGAAGGCGCAGCGGCGAATTGTTTTCCACAAACTTGCCAGCAGCAACAAAGAAAAAGAAAAAGAAAAAGAAAAAGAAAGGCAAAAACAAAAAGCCAGCAGCAGACACAAAAGACTCCACGCCAGCGACGACGCCCACAAACCCATTCCCACCGAAGGTCAGTCTCCAGCAGCAGCAGCAGCAGCAGCAGCAGCAACAATGCTAGCAGCAGCAGGGTAGCAGCAGCAGGAGGAGCTGTAGCGGCAGCAACAGCAGTATCAGGAGTAGTAAGAGCAGTATAAGCAGCAGCAGCAGCAGTAGTAGTAGCAGTAGCAGCAGCAGCAGCAGCAGTAGCAGCAGCAGTAGCAAAGTGCTGCTGCATTGTCCCACTCCTTCTGCATTACTGGTTCTTTGTTTGTTTGCTGCTGCTCATGTGTCTGCTGCTGTTTTGTTTATTTTACTTTTAATTTTCTAATTACTTTTAATTTTAGCTTTCATTTTATTTTTATTTTTATTTTTATTTTTGATTTTAATTTTAATTTCTTTGGAGCTGTTTGGAGTCTAAAGTTGCTTTGCTGCTGCATTAACTCTTTCTTTGCGAAGTATATATTCGTTCAATATTTAATTTAATTTATTTAATTTATTTAATTTAATTTAATTTAATTTAATTTAATTTAATTTAATTTAAATTATTTTTGATTAATATAAATATTTGAGTTTGTCCCGCGGCTTTGAATGACTGGGCTGGGGTGTACGTACACCTGCGTTCTGTTGCTGCTTGAATTTGGTTTTTGCTGTTCTCTTTTTTTGATTTAATTTTCTTTGAATAAACAATTTGTTTGCCACTTTGTTCTTATTATTCCATATCTCTCCCCTGCTGTTGCTGCTGCCGCCTTTGCTGCTGCTGCTTCTGCTCTTGCTGCTGCTGCCACTTCTGCTCTTGCTGCTGCTGCCACTTCTGCTCTTGCTGCTGCTGCTGCTTCTGCTCCTGCTACTCCTCCTGCTGCTGCTACCCCTGCTGCTACCCCTGCTGCCACCCCTGCTGCTGCTGCTGCTGCTGCTGCTGCTGCAGAGCTGGGTTTGCAGGCGGACGGCAGCATAGTGCTGCCGGGGCGGGAGTGGATGTGCATCGACGCTGGACACTTTTTTAATATAACTTCTTTGATGAATGACTCGAGGTCCATTCTGGAAGTCCGCAGACTCGCAGACACCTTCATCTTCCACGAGGCACGCAAACCCTAAACCCTAAACCCTAAACCCTAAACCCTAGAAAGGAGTCTTCTGCAGAACGACCCTGGCGCACCACTGTGGCGTCGGCGCCCCGCCGTGGCGTCTTGCGCCGCGGGGTTACGTCGCGGGTCTAGGCCTAGGGTTTAGGGTTTAGGGTTTAGGGTTTGCAGGTGCACTACGAGGGCTTCCCGTACTTGGTGCTATTCAAAAAGCTCGGCGAAGTGCTGCAGCACATGCAAGAGGCTTTAGTGAACTGCGGCCCTTTATTTCGTTTGGGCCATTTGCAGCCGCTGTGCGAAGCAGCACTGTACGAAGAGGCGGACGCGCAGCCCGCCCGCGGCACCAAGGCCAGTCGATCCGCCCCGAAACTCCCGCGTTTTCCGTGCTAACACTCCCCCCTGCAATTATTTGCATTTTTTAATGTATTTAGGGGAAAAAAGGGGAAAAAATCTTCTTTTTTGACCCCAAATCGCCCAGTTCCACTTCTCCAATCCCGTGCCGGCGTTCGCCGGGTGTACGTACACCCGGTGACGCCCGCAGCGCTTCCGCA